AAAGTTTTTTAATTTTGCAGTTAATTTAGATTTCTTCAGTTTTTTAAAGGTCAGAAAAGCAAGGCAAGAAAAATGCAAAAAAATTACGGCGAGGCTGAATTTTTCCACGACAGATAAATTGTGCCGTGCAGAAGAAAGCTCTCAAACAGTCTCTCCAGACCAGGAGGAACTTTTGAACTGATCCTTGAAAATCTCCACATTGCGGAGTTCAAGCGAGAACCCACCGCAAGACAGCAGTACCACTCAAGTACAACTCCCGTGTGTGGACAGGCACTCCACCAGGTAGCAGTAGCTACTTGAATGGAGAACAGATTGGTAGCACCTTGGGGAGCGAATTTATTTATATCACTGCAAAAATCGTAAACTTAATTTTGCCACCTGTAGGTTTCTAATGTTTCCAAAATTAGATGGGCGTGGCTTTGGTTTCTAACTGTAATACTGTTTTCGAGAGAAACATTACCAGTAAATGAGGACTGAGCTGAACTGGAAGGATTAAAATTACAAGATAGGGGGGGGGGGGAATTAGGAGGACCTAGTAGTAAATAGTAAGGACGAGTGCGAGTCCGAACAGCCGCATATTTTTTAAGGGTACATAGAAAAAATAGTGCAAGTTGTTTTTAAAGTACGTGAATACCTACGTTTATAAGTACCTTGAACTAGGGACACCTTTAATACTTATTGCGTCTAATGGGAGAATAAAAGTTCTTCTCTGTTGAGCTCAGCTAGCCTATTGCGCTTATTCTGATGGGCTTTAAAATTAGTCTACTGAATTATTTACTAGAACCACCCAGGCATAATCTGTTGAACGTGGAAAATATGAGGAAACAGAACTGCAGGAAAATGAGTGAGTAATCGCGGAAGCATGGGACTCCCCCAATCACACGGAAAATGAGTCAGATTCTGACTCTACCTATGTTGATGAGACCCTGGGAAGCCCCTGTGTCTGATAACACCGACAATTCAATACACTCTGCCAGAAAAGGGGACATTCAGTATCGGGTCTAGGTCCACTTTTGGCTGGAAGTTAAGATTTCTGATCGTCAGGGTTCGGTTTGAAGCCACGGCAGCATCAAAAATCCAGAGAGCGTGCAAAAAGCAATTCGTACATGGGGATACGAAAAGAAGGGGGCAGGGGGGCCAGACCCCCCAAACATTTTTGATGGTGGGAAAATCCTTCGTCGAGAATGATTATCTCTCTTCTTAAATGAAAACACAGTGTTCATCAGTTAGTATTTTCGGAAATTTTCATCGAAGAAGCCGCAAAACGTGTCCAAATATAGTAAACATTTTAAACATTTTCCAGATGTGTTGAATGCAACAATTCGAAAGTATTTTGGGCTAAAAGTAAAAAAAAAACCCGCAATGTTCATGCAGAAATTGATGAAAAATCTTATCGGTAGATCTTCTGTGTCCTGTGTCCCCTGTAAAGTTAACATTTTGCCGTCAACGCTATTACCTCCGCTTGAACGAGTCGATTATTGAATCGTTATCGAACGATCCTAATCGATGAATCCCTATCTTAGCAATGCTTTTTATCGATCAAGGTCATTCGATATAGATTCAACGATCGAGTCGCTGGAAGGTGATCTATCACTAATTCACAACGTTTTCCACCGCTGAAGTAGAATGATGCGATGATCAAGGAAAAAAGGCAACGAATAGATAAAAAGCTAAATCCTGACCGTGGTATGCGGTTATGCACTTTGACCAGCCACTCCTGTACTGCCGTGCTGAGGTAAATGCCGCATGAGCCTTTAAATGTTGTTATATTTCCTTCAATAAAAGTCAAATTTACTGGGAGAATTTTGAATATTTTTTTTCAAAATCTTCAGACAATTTTATTCGCGTTTTAATCTAAAATATCTGAAAATGTCACGAAAAACTTGACAAAACTATCCTCATAGCTATAGATATAATTCGAAGAAATTTGGCAACTCTTGAATGTTCTTGCGGCGTTCTTCTTTTGAACGGCAGCGTAGTCATAAGACTGCTCGCTGTGCATTGGCAGAGGCATACATTACAAAAGTTTGCCTCACCGAGGAAACGTGCACTTCCCGATTTAAGCGATCAGACTTTAGTTGGACTTTGAAGGCTTTGTTTCGGCCAATGTCAGTGCTGTCATAGACAACCTACCCATTTGGTTCGTTTTTAAATTTTCATGAATTTTAGATGGGTGTGTGAGGAATTCGAATGATAGAATTTTTGGAAAATATTCACGAAAAGCCCGAGAAAGTGTTCGAAGTTCATTTATCATTTCAAAATGTTCAAATACGCCGCATTTCATAAACTACTAAATAAAGTTGATACAAAGCTTTTTCAAGGCCATAAAAATTCTTCAAACAACCTTAAATTGTTGAACTTGAGCCAACATTTTACGGAGGAAAATTTATATGTGTAAACCCTCCCCTCGAGAGAAAATAGGAAAAAATTATGGAATTTCAGACCGAGTGAGAATAATTTATGGACGATCTGTCTTAGCAATTGTCGAAACGCCTGATTTGACACTGCTTGCAGTTGCGACTATGCTCACCCCAAGTGCCAAGTGGGCCTGGGAGGCCCGCAACGGGTTCAATCCTTCCTTACTTCACTCGAAATAGATTCGGCCACCCATTCTGAATGAATAGCTGTAGGTACAAGCATAAATTGACGTATTTCTGCCAAACGGAACTAACTCAACGTGCATTGTGGGGTAGGCCGTGTTATGCATGTATTCCCTAGTAAACATTGGCGATAAGAGCTGCGTTTCAAAATACCGCAGGAATTCTTAATAGCCGGCTAAAGAAAGCTACAGAAAATCATGTGTCTGGCTGTAGAATGCGGAGGAAATCATACGGCCAGGCTATACGAAGCGATAAAAAATTATGCAGCCGGGCTATAGTTCCTATCGCCGGGCTTTACACTTTATCGCCTGGCTGTTGCTTTTTCACCATCGATTATAAAAGGCTATAAGATATTGTGCAGAAATTCGTGTGCTTTGGAAATCATTAAGTTTGATACGGAGTCACTTAAATATTTACAAAACACACATTATATTTTCCTTTAATACATACTTTTTTCATCAATTAAAATGAGAATAATCCATACAGGATGTGCAAACATTTCAAAATCATGAGTTGAATAACGCTGACTCCGCCAGATTAAATATTAGAGCCTAACACAAAGCGGAGCGGCGACGCACTGGCGCCTACAAACCTAACAGTGATACTTCACGCATTGCGCAACGCGTGAAGTATCCCTGTTAGGTTTGTAGGCGCCTATGAGCGTTTAGCGCTGGCTGCTCGCCTACCGCGCCGCAGCGTGCCACGCCACGGCGCTTAAAGCAACTATTTCACACCAGAGGTATTGCACAGTATCATACGAAACTGAAGGTGCTCTAATATAGTAGGAATGGCAGGCATCCATCAAAAGTACGGAGCTTTCCTCGCAAAATAAATCAAGATACTACGGCCTAAAAAGAGAGCAGTAGTCCAAAAACTCACTAAGTCCTAGCATCCGTAATTAGTAACGTTTAGCATACACTTTATCGCCTGGCTGTTGCTTAGTCGCCATCGCCATCATAGAAGCTATCGGAAATCTTACAGACGGCTGTAGGTCTATGGTATTTTGGAACACAGATTCTACTGCCAATTTTTACCAGGGTTCTTATGAGTCTCAGGGCTTATGGCATAATGCACATAGTTCCGTTTGGCAGAAATATGTCCAAATGAATATCTGGCCAATATGAAAAACACGAAATAACATGGAAAAGAGATTTTGTTGATTTGTTTGCCGGGGAAAAAGCCCAGAAGTCTCATTCCTGCGATTCGAACTCGGAACAAATCCCATTAAACGTTCCGAGGTGATATAGCATTACAGGACATCCTCTGCGTTTCCTTCCAGAAGGAACCAAATCAATCACCTTTTTCACCTATTATTCATACTAATGGAATTTTTAGGGAGTGACCTCGAATGGGCCTGTTGTAAGGTGCGGGAATTTGTGAATTGATAACTAATGCCAATGGACAATTTCACAAAAAGAACGAAACCGCTATTAAAAAATCTTGAAGTCACCCCCACTCAAAAAAGCTGTTTTAGGAACAGACTCAGTGAAAACGGTCTTTTATACGTGAGAACGGATCCGTTACACTCGTGACGTCACAGTGCATGACAAACCTGGTCTCTTCATCAAACGGCTGCAAATTCCTTATGGAGGAATACATTGTAAACGAATAGGAGACCAGGTTCGTCGTGGACTGTGACGTCACAAGTGTACCGGACCCGTTCCCGCGTTAAAGTGACTGTTTCGAAAGTCCGACTTTGGAGCCGTTTTTAACGTCCAGCCCACACGTTGTTTCGGCTCTCAAACTGGCACTAATTCTTCAATTTCTCAGCCATTTATACACGAAATTGCTTGAAAATTTCAGGATATGATCTGTGATGTGTCCCAAACACATCGGCTACCTTGAAATAATGGTGGCCCGATGATCTTTGAAAGGCAACAGTCAACAGTTCCATGGATGAGCCTCTTTGAAGCCCCTAGTTTGTACGTGGGCTGGACGCTTCAAAGTTGATTTTTTGGGGGATTTCCGATGATTACAAAATTCCGGGAAAATTCCTGTGATAATAGGACCCCTCTTTCTTTCGATAAAAACAATAAAAATATATGTGTAACAGGCCCATCCAACTCCAAGATTGCTACTGCATAATGCATAATATGAAAAAGGTGGTGCATATGAAAGAAAATTTTTCCTTTATGTTCAGTGTTGATGCGAGCAGTTTGGAGGACAAGGCGCATAAGTGCCGTTTTTAAACAATTGAGATATTAATGATTTCAAGTACAACTAGTCTTAATGCATACTCTACAAAAAATCCCTCCCAAATTCCAACTTTTAAGCATCAAAAAGTCAGTTTGAACTTTCTTCCCGCCATGAGGATCCATGTAATTTCGAAACTTCAAACACGTATTTCTCGAAATAGAAAAAACCGCACTTATGCGCCTTGTCCTCAGCCCCTCAAATTACCTTGCCACTCGAGTTGGGGACATGAGTTTCCGGGGGTCCGTCGGCGGGGTCCGTAGGTTTGAGCTCCGTCAGCGGGGACGGGGGGTCCGTCGTCATCCTGGAACAATCCTCAGCCGGTGCCGGCGCACATCACTACACAGCAAACACAATAATTGGCGAACAAATCGTGTGAAGCGGTTCACGGACGCGCATTCATGGTCATCGGATGACGATGACGTCATCGACGAAGAAAAGATAAATAAAGCCGAGGCTCGGACATGTAATGGACAACGGTGGAATAAAAACCACGGGGCTTCCGCTCCTGTGCTCGCGCGACTGATGCGTGCCCGGCGTCCGGCGCGCGGCGTCTAGGCTCGACGTCGACGTCGCGTCGCGTCGCGTCGCGTCGCGTCGGCGGTGCGGGCGCCTCTACTTGTCGAATCAGTAATGAGGCTGATTGCCGTTTCTGCCAAGTTGCCGCTCTCTCGCCTGAAAATTCTGAAAATCAGACCTCGCAACGGCTAGACTACCGTGCTCCGGTGCTCCGGTAGAGCACTCTATGAAAATTCAAGCGTTGCCATATCTCTTCCACTAAGACCTTTTTTTTAAAGGAAAGTTACGAATATTTTTCATTGAAATTTTCTGATTTTTAAGATGGAGGTGCGCAGACATTTTTTTGAGAACGGAGGTGTTGCATGTGTGAGGAATTTGCGATTTGACAATTGATTCGTATGTAAAAGTTTGCGAGAAACACGATGGTGCCACTGGTTTTCTCTGAACTCCTAAGCTCAAAAAAAACTCTCAAAGTTGAGGCAAAATGGAGGGGATATCCCACGCTATCCTGAGAGTCCACCTCTACATCAAGACAAACTCTCCATGCAAAGATAGGGAGCAAATACATTAGCAGGGTTGCCGTGTTTTCAGTTTTGGAGTCCCCAAATAAAGTGGCAGCCCTGTCAATGTATTGACTCCCTATCTTTGCATGGAGAGTTTGTCTTGATGTAGAGGTGGACTCGCAGGATAGCGTGGGATATCCCCTCCATTTGGGCCTCAACGTTCGAAAAGAAAAGCTCATAAACATCCTAGAAGGTTTGCATTTAATCAGACGAAATGTGGCAACGTTCGAATGTCCATACGGCGTTTTCTCTTAGCATGACTGTAGAACACATTCACATTGAGATTATATCAATGATGTCATGTCTAAGCCGCACAAGGATTGGTTTAACAGTTTTTGACCGCTCATGAGGCTCGTGAGGATAAACTGTAATAAATCATTAATTGGGGGAGACTGGCAACATTCGCATTTCGCATGCTCCTACACCATAGTCTGTATAAGGATTTGAGTTACCTCCGCGGCTGAGGCATGCAACCAAACTTGCTTCCGAACAGAGCCGGTTGCGTGAGCAGCAAATTGAAGGGGATTCGAGCGGGAGCCAGAATGGGTCATTTCGTCTCTCCTCTGCGTAAGGGCGTATTTCGATCCCCACGTGAGTATTCCTCTCCGTAGGTATAACTCCAGAGGCGGATCCAGCAATTTGGCAACACCGAATTCCTCCATTTAAACTTATGCTAAATAATCGATTCTTGTCAGAGCACCCGGCCCCTCCAAAAATCGATACATTTTCATAGGTTTAAATGGAGGCAATCCGGTGTTGCCAAATTGCTGGATCCGCCAATGTATAACTCTATGCTTTCCAGATCTTATGTGTAAATAGTGATACTTTCTTACGTCAGAGAAGGAAGGGAATCCGTGTGAGACCTAACTGCAGCTCTTTGCTTGATCGATAAGTTTATTTCAAGGAACGATTTGCGACCTACTTACGCTGATTTTGGTTTATTCTCGAATGGAGATTATGAATGGACATTTTACATTTCAGTCTTCAAACGTACCAAAATTTCTCACCAATTTCAGAAGTTTTTGGTATGCTCAACGTGTTCAGCTTGAATTCCAAGATGTGTTCTGTGTTATGTTGCCTATTTTAATTTTCACCTTATCCAGTGGTTAATAATATTTCCATACTCTCGCAGCTCAGTCATTTCAATCAAAACCATACTCTTGTGCCACATAAACCAAGTTTTTTTTGTGAGCAACATAGCTCACTTGCCTCAAGAGAACATAAAATTTCTCCTAATGATTTTATCACACTTTCTATAAGTCCATATCGATAGAAGAATTGATGTGTTTGCAATATCAGCGCTCACAGTCATCGACTCATGCGGTCTATTGAGCTCGAGGTATTAGCAGGGGTCAGTGTCACTGTTGCCATAACTGTTAGTGTATGTTGAATCAGCTTATATTCCAATCAGTCCTCATTGGAAAAAATCTGTAAAATTATGCACCGAGTGGCATCAGCGTTTGTCATTAACTGACGGTGCATTATCCGTTGCACTCTACCGCTGATTCTCACAAACCGTAACCTAATTAGAAGCTCGTAATGACTTATTCGATGAAAGACTATTCTTTTTTTACAGCTGATCTTGTCGATTATCTACTGTGTATCAGTTTGAGAATAATGCTCGTTTGAATCATCATCACTAGATCTATACTTAGCATACTGCTACTTTCTGTCCTCAGAATGATCGTTTTATTACCTTTTGTTTTTAACCTCCGATTATAAAAAAAAATGTCAATAATTCGCCGAAACATTATAAAGCTCAAGTTGTGTCCCTCCAAAACCTGAATGATATTTTAGAATCCGGCTAAATAAAGAAAGACAAAGATGACAATGAAGGAAGCTGATTGAATGCAAAATAATCGAGTGTCATACGCACCTTCTCTCTTTACTGCGCCTTCATTTTCCAAGGTGTGCCACAAAGTACTCTACGTGCAACTGCAGTAATATCTTTGAATTTTAAATGTTCTCTCGATCTTTTTAGGCATTAATACCACGGGACCCCATAAACTTTGAAGTTCATGTAAAGTTCACCATAAAATTTGTATCAATTTTTTAAGGAAATTAAAAAAAAATGTTTTCTTCAATTTTTTTGAGAAATTATGTAGACCCTGGAACACAAGCAGCACCGAGCAGCACGAAGATCTCACCAAATCAGTTAATGCTTTTTTGTTTGCAGTTGATTTGGTTCCGCTATCTACAAATGCATTTGAGGAAGGGGGGGGGGGGNGGAGGGGAGGGTGAACACATACTTATATTATAAACAAGTTTTTCAGGGACATGGTAGAAGACACAGTAAATTATGGTGATTGAAACCAATTTTATTGACGAATTATGTATAAAACGGCGAATGAGAGTAAAAATACAATGTAAAAACAATAAAAAAGTTCATTAAGAGTATTGTCGTTCCGTGGATATCTTAACTTAAAATACATATATTTAATATACAGATCTAGTAATCACTATTTTCTTTAATTTCGGGTCAAAGAAGGTTAATTTTTGGGCACTAACTGAAAATATAATCGTACATTATCTCTTTCATCATGGATTCCACTGCAGAGATAATAGTCATCTTTTCTGCAAGTACTGGTGATTCTATTTTGTGCGTGTATGCAATAATCATACCTCGGTTGCCTTTGGAAAAAAGTGAAGTGCAACTAAGTTCTAAGGCATGTATTGACAAAAAGAACTGGAATTTCAGCGACTTGAACGATTAAAAAAAATGCAGTTTTCATAAGATTATGTTGCATAGAGGAGAAAAAAGTCCAACATATAGGCCTATGGATCATACATGTATTGTTCCTTTCCAATTATTATATTTTATTGCAGTCTTATATTTGGTTGGATACCACTATTGCAAGGAGTAAGTGCCAAACTAACTCTCTGAATTGATATACTAACACCAATTCATTCTCACGTCAAAACATTCTAAGAAAGACCAGTGATCATTGTGGAGAAAATATGCAGACAATTTGTTTCGAAACAATGTCAGCGAAACACGTTTACGCATTCAAATGTGAAAAATATCGAACTATGGTACATATTTTCGGTTGGCCACGCAGTAAACCATTGCTACTATGCATATTTAGCCAAAATCAGAGGAAATAATCGTTTCAATCCAAAACACTTCTTTGCAGTAAAAAAAGTTGACTACACAGTCTCTTTATTATATTGAATCTCAGACTTTTGTAGTTGAAGGACCTTCGCGATAAAATGGTGGTTACAAATATGTCTAATCTTAACTCATTGTCAATGATTTGCATGAGCGCCGTGTTTGTACCGCCAAGCGATCGTACGATAGAGATCGACCGTCTTGCACTTTCACAACTACCTGTATCGAGTAGCTGAAATTTGGTCGTAGTCGATTGATTTTCCGTGTCATCACGAATCTGCAACATGGAATATTAAAGAAAGCATTACTTCAGTAGAATGAGCTAATTAAAAGGTAAAATTTCATGCTTTCAACGTTTAAAAAGGCAATTAGGCCTCAATGCATACATGGAACTTTTGAGAATAGTACATGTTTTACTGCCTCGGGTTTTTTTTTTTTTTTTTTTTNTTTTTTTTTTTTTTTTTTTTTTTTTTTTTTTTTTTTTTTTTTTTTTTTTTTTTACAATTATTTGTATGAGATGTTTCAGTTTCACAAGCGTGTTGGTATCAATAGTGGGTCTATAGACAAGGTATGAATTAGAGCACTACGCAACATGTTCTTACTAAAAACCAATTCACTAGGAAACCGATACCCGCAAAGAGGAGTCTGGAAGTCACCTCATGAATATTGTAAGTGTTTACAATTAATATTGGTTGGACGGCAAAAGTACGAATGACGCCATTACAGCTAGCGATCCAACTTCTCCTTAATCTGTGTTAACAATACTTTGCTGATATCTCGTCCATGAATTGATTTCCGATGTTCCCGTTGCGTGAATCGTTTTTTACCTACGTAATATTTTGAGGAGGAAACACGTGACTTTTATTTTTGTTCAGACCTTGTCCAATGGCCCATTGTATTCAGATTCAATCATACATCCGTGAAAAAATAGTACTCGCAAACTGAATCGAAGTATAGGTAGTCGAAGTATATAATCGAAATTGCTCTCATAAGAATTTGGTAAAATTAATCCGATGCCATCGAAAAAAAAATAGGTGCTATAGTAACATCCTGCATGTTAAAAAAAATGTGCGACAACTCTTGGATGTTGTCATTACCACTCTGCCTGTCAAAGTAACATCCTAGGATGTTACTTTTACATCGTGTCATGCTACGTTAACTGCCAGAGTGTTAATGGCAACATCCAAGAGTTGTCGCACATTTTTTTGACAACCGCGACATTCGGGATGTTACTAAAGCATCTTTTTTTTCGGTGTGGATTGTATATTTGGTAAATCCGAATAACCATCATCAAATACTGGATAACTACCTCAGGTACTGCCATCATCGAAGAGAACGCTAATAGAGATCGTTCAGAATTGGTTTTCGCTTGTTCTGTGATCATCTCGCTGTCCTGTTTCGGGAGGGCAAGGCGTTATGTAACCGTGGAAAAGTCCAGCGAGACAAGTTTTATTAGTTATTGCTTTACCCTGCTCTTGCATACTTGCAAACGCTCTCCATGNACTCTTGATTCAATCAGATTTTTGCTTAAAGAAAAAGGAAATTCGCTCAAATAAGAGGCCTGGTTCTTGATTTAAGCAAAAATCCGATTGAATCAAGAGTATGTTTTCTTGTCTATGTTTGTAAGAGTTTGGACTCTAGATCCAGTGTGTTTTTTTTCCAGTGTATGGCATAATAAGTGATCTTACAATAGTTCTGGCAAAATGTTTTGTGATGCTGGGTTTCCTCATTAGATTCTTGTCAATTTTATGCATGCCGATTTGAATTTTTGTGTTCGCTTTGACAATAACCTAGGCAGAGCTTCGTTCCGCAATTCGAAATTTGTTAGAGTCGCCTGTTATTTTCCAATTGGGCGTATATTTATCGTTTAGTCTGAAAAGTAACTAAATTAAGCTTTCTACCTTCGTACGTTTTAAACTCGAAAGCTACCCTGCCCTTAACATTTTGCCTGTAAGCTATACTTTTCATAATAACTAAAAATTACCGGTTTTGGAAAAGTTCAATCTAAGCTGTATTTCCGACTGCGGTGAAACAGTTTGTATCATATCGCCCTTTGTTCAAACGCGCGAAATTATAGAATTTTAACGGTTTCAAATTCAGTTAAATCGGACCGACCGATTAAAATGACCTCGAAGCTGATAAAATCACTTCTATTTGAGCACACAGTCAAGTTAAATGACTATTAATGGGTACTTTTGATCGTAAAATTCAAATTTAGGGTCAAAAACTCTCCTTAAACATAAATGGTGCCCTACATTTTAGATGGCGCACATTTTGGAAAATAACAGGCGACTCTAACAAATTTCGAATTGCGGAACGAAGCTCTGCCTAGGTTATTGTCAAAGCGAACACAAAAATTCAAATCGGCATGCATAAAATTGACAAGAATCTAATGAGGAAACCCAGCATCACAAAACATTTTGCCAGAACTATTGTAAGATCACTTATTATGCCATACACTGGAAAAAAAACACACTGGATCTAGAGTCCAAACTCTTACAAACATAGACAAGAAAACATACTCTTGATTCAATCGGATTTTTGCTTAAATCAAGAACCAGGCCTCTTATTTGAGCGAATTTCCTTTTTCTTTAAGCAAAAATCTGATTGAATCAAGAGTTCATCAAATTTCATGTTTGACCTCTCTGATTGAATCGAGTCAATCAGAGAGGTCAAACATGAAATTTTTGACTAAAACTGCAAATTTTGATGTTTATTTTGTCACAATTTATATTTTAAGGGGTGTTTCTGGAAGACAATTTTACGAGGAAACCAATGGAACCACTGTCAGAATCCCAAAGTTTTGTGTAAGCGGAGTTATAAGTTTAAAGTTTCCAAATTTTGTCCGCCCTCTTCTATTGATTCGATCCACTGTGTAGCGGCTAAAATGGTCATTACGAGGGTCGATTATCTTTACATTCACGCGCATTGTCGAGTTAGGTGTCCACTCGTATTTAATTTTGAACAGGGACATTCAAGTTTGCTCTAGGGAAACCATAATGAAGTTAGTGTATGATATTAAAATGAATACTCGCACTATACTTTTATTTAATGAGAGACAGACGGCCAGAAATCAAAACTCAGCTTGATTCTGTCTATCTGCCGCTATCTGCCAGACACCCATATCGGTCGCTTGCTTTACATGTCTATGATAAGACTTCGAATGAAGGTGACCTTAACTGATGACCTTTTTGGGATTATTATGCTCATTGTCAGTCGCATCTGGCGTGGCGTAAGTAGAGCTAATCGGACAAATTTCACTTTGCTGGCAAAGAAAATTCGCAACCCTTCTCCACCTCTGCATGAAAAAGAGATGACAGCAAACTTCTCGTTGTCCCTGCAAATATTACAGTACATCCACAAATTACGCCCTCCTTTGATGGCTGTGTGATTTAATTTAATATCGGGAACACTTGTGAAGAAAGTTATCCGTGACAGTATGTTTCATATCCGATCATGTTTTGTGTCTTTAATAAAAGGATATTCGCCACGTCATTCTAATGTAAGTTCAAAGTATCCTGTTACTTATATTTTTTTAAAATTAAAAACGGGGTGCCTCGTGGTCCAAACTCCAAAGTGCTTCACACTTCAGGCGTTTTCCGTTACGCTTTACTCTTAGGATTCTTTTACGATAGATAGTGTACGATTGATCGATCAAAAAGCAACTTTCAAAAATTGTCCTCTTTTCATGGTGTCTAATCACTCATGAAAATACAAACAATATGACAGAAAAACGTAGGAGCATATAACTTGTAGTTAGACATTCAGATATGAAGTCTGAAATCTAAAACATTCCATCGATAAATTTTCGGATAAAGAAATTTTTTTAAAAATAGACCGCGTCAAGCAGAAAAGAATCAAGCCACATCAGCCCTTGCCAAATGTAATTGGGCATTTTAGTTTTTAACATGCAAACGGTTGTGCGTATTCCTGTGCAAATTTCAGTGAATTTTCTTCATGGTGCGAAACAAATTCCCTCAAATTTTCAAAGAAATCCGCACAAACGTTCTCTTGGAAAGAATGAAAATGCAAAAATTTAAATTTTTTTAAATTTAGCAATAGCTGATGTGGCTTGCTTCCTTTCCGCTAGACGCGGTCCATTTTAGGGTAGGACCAATAAGTTGATGCCATCTATTCAATTTTTTGCAATTTTTTATTTTTTTGCAAATTTCAGTGAATTTTTTTCATAGTGCGAAGCAAATTCTTTAAAATTTTCAAAAGAATTCGCACAAACAATCTCTTGTGAAAAATTGAAATGCCCAGTTAAATTTGGCATTAGCTGATGTGGCTTACGAAGTTCCTTCCTGCGAAACGCAGTCAAAATGTACACTGAAAAAAAAACACATTAGATCTAGAGTCCAGACTCTTAAAAACATTGACAAGAAAAAATACTCTTGATTCAATCAGATTGAAGCTTAAATCAAAAGGAAATCCGCTCAAATTAAGAGGCTGGGTTCTTGATTTAAGCTTAAATCCGATTGAATCAAGAGTATTTTTTCTTGTCGATGTTTTTAAGAGTCCGGACTCTAGATCCAATGTGGTTTTTTTTTCCGGTGCATACTCTCGGAGCTTCGTCATTTCAATCAAAACCATATTCTTGTGCCACATAAATCAAGTTTTTTTTGTGAGCAACATAGCTCACTTGCCTCGAGAGGACATAAAATTTCTCCTAATGATTTTATCACACTTTCTATAGGTCTATATCGATAGAAGAATTGATGTGTTTGCAATATCAGCGCTCACAGTCATCGACTCATGCGGTCTAATGAGCTCGAGGTATTAGCAGGGGTCAGTGTCATTGTTGCCAATACTGTTAGTGTATGTTAAATCAGCTGATATTCCGCTCAGTTCTCATTGGAAAAAATCTGTAAAATTATGCATCGAGTGGCATCAGCGTTTGTCATTAACTGACGGTGCATTATTCGTTGCACTCTACCGCTGATTCTCACAAACCGTAACCTAATTAGAAGCTCGTAATGACTTATTCGATGAAAGAATATTCTTTTTTTACAGCTGATCTTGTCGATTACCTACCATCTATCAGTACGTGAACAATAATTGTTTGAATCATCATCACTAGATCTATACTTAGCATACTGCTACTTTCTGTCCTCGGAATGATTGTTTTATTACCTTTTGTTTTTAACCACCGATTATAAAAAAAAGAGAATTTCAATAATTCGCCGAAACATCGAAGAGCTCAAATTATGTCCCTCCAAAACCTGAATAATATTTTAGAATCCGGCTAAATAAAGAAAGAAAAAGATGACAATGAAGGAATCTGATTGAGTGCAAAATAATTGAGCGTCATACGCATCTTCTCTCTTCACTGCGCCTTCATTTTTCCAAGGTATGCCACAAAGTACTCTATGTGCAACTTCAGTAATATCTTTGAATTTTAAATGTTCTCTCGATCTGTTTAGGCCTTAATACCACGAGACCCTATAAATTTTGAAGTTCATGTAAAGTTCACTGTAAAATTTGTATCAATTTTTTGAGTAAATTAAAAAAAAAATGTTTTCTCCAATTTTTTTGAGAACTTATGTAGACCCTGGAACACAAGCAGCACGAAGATCTCACCAAATAAGTTAATGCTTTTATGTCTGCAGTTGATTTAGTTCCGCTATCTACCAATGCATTTGAGGAAGGGGGGAGGGGAGGGTGAACACATACTTATATTATAAACAAGTTTTTCAGGGACATAGTGGAAGACACAGTAAATTATGGCGATTGAAACCAATTTTATTGACGAATTATGTATAAAACGGCGAATGAAAGTAAAAATACAATGTAAAAACAATAAAAAAGTTCATTAAGAGTATTGTCGTTCCGTGGATATCTTAACTTAAAATACATATATTTTATATACAGATCTAGTATTCACTATTATCTTTAAATTCGGGTCAAAGAAGGTTAATTTTTGGGCACTAACTAAAAATACGATCGTACTTTTTGTCTTTCATCATGGATTCCACTGCAGAGATAATACGCATCTTTTCTGCAAGTTCCAGTGATTCTATTTTGTGCGTGTATGCAATAATCATACCTGGTTGCCTTTGGAAAAAAGTGAAATGCAACTAAGTTCTGAGGCACGTATTGACAAAAAGAACCGGAATACCAGCGACTTGAACGATTAAAAAAAAATGCAGTTTTCATAAGATTATGTTGCAGAGAAGAAAAAATTTCAACATATAGACCTATGGATCATACATGTATAGTTCCCTTCCAATTATTATATTTTATTGCAGTCTTATATTTGGTTGGATACATCTATTGCAAGGAGTAAGTGCCAAACTAACTCTCTGAATTGATACTAACACCGCAATTCATTCTCACGTCTAAACATTTTAAGAAAGACCAGTGATCATTGTGAAGAAAATATGCAGACAATTTGTGTCGAAACAATGTCAGCGAAACATGTTTACGCATTCAAATGTGAAAAATATCGAATTGGTACAAATTTTCGGTTGGCCACGCAGTAAATCATTGCTACTATGCATATTTAGCCAAAATTAGAGGAAATAATCGTTTCAATCCAAAACACTTCTTTGCAGTAAAAAAAGTTGACTACACAGTCTCTTTATTATATTGAATCTCAGACTTTTGTAGTTGAAGGACCTTCGCGATAAAATCGTGGTTACGAATATGTCTAATCCTAACTCATTGTCAATGATTTGCATGAGCGCCGTGTTTGTACCGCCAAGCGATCGTACGATAGAGATCGACCGTCTTGCACTTTCACGACTACCTGAATCAAGTAACTAAAATTTGGACGTAGTCGATTGATTTTTCGTGTCATCACGAATCTGCAACATGGAAAATTAAAGAAAGCATTACTTCAGTAGAATGAGCTAATTAAAAGGTAAAATCTCATGCTTTCAACGTTTAAAAAGGCAATTGGGCCTCAATGCATACATGAAACTTTTGAGAATAGTACATGTTTTACTGCCTCGGTTTTTTTTTTTTTTTTTTTTTTTTTTTTTTTTTTTTTTTACAATTATTTGTATGAGATGTTTCAGTTTCACAAGCGTGTTGGTATCAATAGTGGGTCTATGGACAAGGTATGAATTAGAGCACGACGCAACATGTTCTTACTAAAAACCAATTCACTAGGAAACCGATACACGCAACGAGGAATCTGGAAGTCACCTCATGAATATTGTAAGTGTTTACAATTAATATTGGTTGGGCGGCAAAAGTACGAATGACGCCATTACAGCTAGCGATCCAACTTCTCCTTAATCTGTGTTAACAATACTTTGCTGATATCTCGTCCATGAATTGATTTCAGATGTTCCCGTTGCGTGAATCGTTTTTTACCTACGAAATATTTTGAGGAGGAAACACGTGACTTTATTTTTGTTCAGACCTTGTCCAATGGCCCATTGTATTCAGATTCAATCATACATCCGTGAAAAAATAGTACTCGCAAACTAAATCGAAGTATAGGTAGTCGAAGTATATAATCGAAATTGCTCTCTTAAGAATTTGGTAAAATTAATCCGATGCCATCGAAAAAAAAATTAGGTGCTATAGTAACATCCTGGATGTTAAAAAAATGTGCGACAACTCTTGGATGTTGTCATTACCACTCTGCCTGTCAAAGTAACATCCTAGGATGTTACTTTTACATCGTATCATGCTACGTTAACTGCCAGAGTGTTAATGGCAACATCCAAGAGTTGTCGCACATTGTTTTGACAACCGCGACATTCAGGATGTTACTAAAGCATCTTTTTTTTCGGTGTGGATTGTATATTTGGTAAATCCGAATAACCATCATCAAATACTGGATAACTACCTCAGGTACTGCCATCATCGAAGAGAACGCTAATAGAGATCGTTCGGAATTGGTTTTCGCTTGTTCTGTGATCATCTCGCTGTCCTGTTTTGGGAGGGCAAGGCGTTATGTAACCGTGGAAAAGTCCAGCGAGACAAGTTTTATTAGTTATTGCTTTGCCCTGCTCTTGCATACTTGCAAACGCTCTCCATGCTGAGACTGTGAGCTTGCACAAAATTCAAACGCGCGAGTAGAATACAAATTTTTAGAGAGTTTTAAACATCATTTTAATATTAATTTGGAAATGACTGAATTTCAATACACAGCCCAATAGCTTATCCCTACGTGAATAGGCTGAACTATTCTTAACTTAATTTTTGGCACAAAAGAAAAAGTTTTTGGTCGAAAGCTCAAAATCCGAGTTTTCGATTCTACTCTTAACTTAATTTTTTGGGACAGAAGAAAAAGTTTTTCGTCGAAAGCCCAAAATCCGAGGTTTTCGATCCTACACCCGAGAAAAATAGCTCAACTATGACCCCCCTCCCCCCCACGGTAGACTAAGGTCCCCCTTTTCACATAGAGTTTTTTGTACAACGTTTTTGTGCTCAGTTTTAAGGGCCCCGGAGATTTTGAGGTATCTTTCAACTTTTTCCTCACGGCATTGAAGATGGTCGCGATCACAAAAAGGGTGCCCATCACCCGCATCCGATTTTACGCGGTTCGGATTAAAATTAACCGCGGTTGAGATCAAGCGCAGCTAAAATTGCTTGTGATCCAGGTTATCCATGGTTTTCAGTTATCCGCGGCATCACGTTATCCACGGTTTTGATTATACGCGGCTTAACTGTACTTGTAAGTAGTTTTAGAATTTCTACGGTTTTTCATTATCCGCGGCTCTTGAACGAGATTTCTCTGAGTTCTCCTATACTCACGGCTGAGATTAAGCGAGATTAAGATTGGTCCAGGCAATCTGAGGTTTTCGATTGTTCGTGGTTTACAATCATCGGCGGCTTTCTATATAATCGGCAATTTTCAATTATTGGCAGTTTTCGCATATCCGCGATTTTCGTTTATACGCGGTTTTCGACTATCGGCGATTTTCAATCATCCTCTTGTTCCATCAACCGCGGTTTTCGATTATCCGCGGCATTACATTATCTGCGGTTAGAATTTCCGTGGGTTTTGATTATTCAGTTCGGACCATCTAAGGTCTTAAACGAGATTTTTCTGCGTTCTCCCATCCACGGTTGAAATTAAGCGAGATTGATACTTGTTTTAGACCAGACTTTCCGTGGTTTTCCGTAATCCGCAGTTTTAAATTATAGACGGCTCTCGAATATCCGCGGTTTTCGACTATCCACGATTTTCAATCATCCTCTTGTTCCATTAACCGCGGTTTTCGATTATCCGCGACATTACATTATTTGCGGTTATAGAATTTCCGTGGTTTTTGATTATTCAGTCCGGATCATCTATTAAGGTCTTAAACGAGATTTTTCTGCGTTCTCCCATCTACGGTTGAAATTAAGCGAGATTGATACTTTTTTTAGACTAGACTATCCGCGGTTTTCAGCCGTCGGCGGTTTTCCGTAATCCGCAGTTTTAAATTATAGAGGGCTCTCGAATATCCGCGGTTTTCGATTGTCTGCGGTTTTCGATTATCCGCGATTTTCGAGTATCTGCGGTTTTCGATTATCCGCGGTTTTCGATTTTCCGCGGTTTAGAGGACTCTACATGTTTAGATTATCCACGATTTCGAATTATCACGATTTTGGACCATCCGCTGTGCCTTCGGTCTCAATTTCCGCGGATAGCCAGTACAGTACTGTATCTTTGGTCCGCTTGGGTACTCTACGACAGAGATGGAAGCTGTCGTAGTGTGATATTTTCTTTTTCCACTGAAGTGGGGAACAAAGAAGAGTTTTTGGAGGTTTTTGGCAAGAGGATGGTGACTTGCGCGGAGTCTCTTTACCCAAGTTTTTGGGTTTTTTGGGGTTTACTGTAAACGAATACTTACGGCGAGGTTCGGTTCGTTTCGTTCTCTGCGCTGTAGCGATGACACTCCACGGCCGCCAGGGAGTTGATATCCTTGGTCCTGGCCTCGGGCTTGCACTGGTCCGGCGTGGGGTCCCAATCATCGTCGGGATCCCTGCGGAAGGCGTAGAGGCAGTACGAGACCGGGCTCTCGGAGGGTAGCCTCTTGACCGGCACCCAGCCGACCGTCACGGAGCGGCACGTGCGTAGCCACTTGAACTCGTAGACCGTCGCCGACGCAGGCAGGACTGGGAACTTGGATAGAGTCGTCGAGTTCGTCGATGCCAACACCTGATATAATAATTAATTCAATTAATGTGATTAATTTAACTTCATAGTATAGAAGCTGAAGTCCTGACATTAGGGTAGAGAATGGAGATGTTGCATGTGTGAGAAATTTGCGATTTGACTGTTGATTCTTATGTAAAAGTTCGCGAGACACACGATGTAGCCACTGGTTTTCTCTGAAATTAACTCCCAAGCTCAAAAAAAGCTCTCAAGTTTAGGCCAAAATGGAGGGGATATCCCACGCTATTCTGAGAGTCCACCTCTACATCAAAACAAACTCTCCATGCAAATATAGGGAGCAAATACATTGACAGGGCTGCCACTTTATTTGGGGACTCTAAAACTGAAAACACAGCATCACTGCTAATGTATTTGCTCCTTATCTTTGCATTGAGAGTTTGTTTTGATGTAGAAGTGGACTCTCAGGATAGGGTGGGATATCCCCTCTATTTTGGCCTCAACTTGAGAGCTGTTTTTGAGCTTGGGAGATGATTCCAGAGAAAACCAGTAGCACCATTGTGTTTCTCGCGAACTTTTACATAAGAATCAACAGTCGAATCGCAGATTCCTCACACATGCAACAACTCCATTCAGTGGCGGATTCGCGGGGGAGGGGGGGGCAAGGTGGAATGGCCCACCCTCGGGTCAGGAAAAAAGGGGGAAAAAGGAGGAAAGGGGGAAAGAGGGAGAGAAAAAAAGTGCTCCTAAAAATTTACTGAAATGGTGTCAAGACAGAACTTCAGAACTATTTAACCAAGTTTACTCAACCAAAGGTTACTCATCCGCAGAAGTATATAGGCCATGCAACAAAATAAAATGTCTCTAAAAGAGATATTACCTATTCGTCGATTTTCACCTTCCAAAAAAGCAGCAATCCGTCGTCTTTAAACCTGTCCGTGGCTTTTGGTTTCTTTAGTTTCAACAGTTTCAACTGTTTTTTAACTCTATTTGAAATTCGTTATGAGCGCCTGACGGATATGCAATGGAATGATCACCATCAATACTTGTTGCATAGCCGAGCACATATCGGGCGTTTTAAAATGAGTGGAGGTAGGTTAGGTACTCCAGCGTCTTGACCAGTGGTATATTAGGACAATTTCATTTTGATCAAACTACCTACATGACCTATTAACCTTCTTTTCTAATTTTCCTCTTGTTTCTTTAGGAGAATCACAATTTTTATCGCATGTATTGTGAATTGAAACAAAGAGAGAAAAAATAGAGGGAGGGAAGGAATAGGTAAAAGAGAGTCTACTTTTGTACTTAAATACTCTGCAACTTGGTATGGTATAGCTATGCTTTGAAACAAAAAAAAGAAAGAGAGAAAGAAAGTTCACCCAATACGTACCTCAATATTGGACGAATGTTGAGAGTTGTCAAAATTGCCTAAATAAGAAATTTTAAGACTAATTATCTGATGTGGTTGAACGTGGGGTAGGGTGAGCCGATAAGCGTTCGTGATCTGCGCTCTGTGTTGAACAACACCCTCTTGATGTTTTTGTTGGCGTGAAACTTCGATTTCAGCTGCCCATTTGCAGGGTATGATAACGAATGTTAGATTTCCTACGGTGCTCCTGCTTGTCTGGGGAACGTAAAAAATACCGATTAATATACCTCACCCAAAGTTTTTTCAAAATGTTTCGAAGTATAAGGAAACAATGAGCAGCTCATGTTTTATACAAAGCCCAATATTAAAAGTCATCGCTAAATGTATTGCTAGTGGTTCCTTTCTCAGGTCATAAAGCTTTTGGCAGATTTTAATATTTTTCCGTTTGTTTCTTTTTTTTCGTTCGATTGATAATGGCTGCGTAATTGGTCCCCTCCCCCTTGTGACGCTTCGTATACCCTTAACCCTGGACCATCCCTAATAATTACGTGACTCTTGGCGGACCTGTCTCCTTAAGATCCCAAAAATTGTGGAAAACTGTTGGAGTATCTTATACGAATCCGTTCAACTTTTGCGTTATTTTGAGATAGCTCCGGGAAAAAATGACGAAACTCAAAACCCTTCGCACTCCGGTTGGCATAATTATTTCCTTACATACAATAGCTGCGACTAGAAATGTAGGTATGAACAAATTCCAAGATGCTACACATCTCGAAATCTGTTTTATGAGATTGCTGTCCCCAGCCCCCAAATTCCCGCACCTTGCAGCCAGGCCCTTTGTAGAAGCAACTATTCTTTCTTCTCCATACTGAAAAGAAAATTTTTCATAGAATTCATATCTCTAAATTCGCCTTACCTTATACTTAAAGACCGCTTTGCCGTGAAGTCTGGTCAAGTCAACCGTCGTCACTTTGCCGTCTCGCAGTTTGATCAAACGACTCGGCTCTTGGTGGACGAAAGTTTTGCTCGCGTAAGGTAGCGGGAAGTTGTAAGTGACGTTATTTGATCTGTAAAAAATGTCCACGAAGTATCGAACGTGCTCCGTGAAATTCTTGAACGTCCGCCTGTTCTTCCCGACTTTGCACTTCATCTGAAGCAGAAATTCCCTGTGAGCACGCCTGAGGATACATGCCCGAAGTTGCACAGTGCAACAAAAATATTGACATGACTTTGCAATGTATTAAACAAAATTGCAATATTTTTACATTATTTGAGCCATAAATGCCGATTTTAAAAGATTGCCGATAAAAAAGCTCCATGGTAAGAAAAATGCGCAGTTTGAAATACAAAAAGAAATTCAACTGATCATAATTTTAGTGCAATCAATTTCAGCGAAAGAAGCCCCTCCAATTAGTCAATAGATAACCTACAGACAGATCTGACGGCATAGCAATTATTGAGGGAAAGTGCAGTTTTTGAAAAAAATGAGATATTAATGATTCCAGATTAAACTAGTCTAAATGCATATTCAGTGAAAAATTCGCTGACAAATTCCAGTTTTTAAGGATCAAAAAGTCAGTTTGGACTTTCTTTCAGTCATAAGGATCCATACAATTTCGAGACTTCCAACACATATTTTTCGAAATAACAAAAGCTGCACTTATGCGCCTTGTCCTCCGAGCCCCTCAATTATACTAAGAATTGAAATATTTTGCAACCTGTGCTTAGACGTTATGCTTTACGCGTTACTCTCAAGGTTTTACATTATTTTTTAAGATTTTACTTGTGACTTTTTCTATAGTCTAAGTAATATTATTTCAAATTTAGCTTTTTATAGCTGCAGCCTACAAAATTTCAAGAAAAAAAAAATAATTGTCTTTCATTCTGACGACATTTATCAATCAAACTAGTTGAAAATCTTGCCTTAAAACTTAAATTTCACTTGATGAATTGGGGGTGAGCGGTCGGAGTTATCTACTTTACAAATACCATTGATTTCTGTTGCATATCGACGGTGTAAGTCGGCAATCACATAACTCAGTTTGCGACGTCGCAGACTTTCTGTCATACTTTATATTTTTTTAAACGGAAAACTACTCAACGGCAATTATTTAAAACTGCCCTGATTTTTTTTCTCCATGCGAAGAAAATTCTGCAAAAACTTCAAGGAATGACGTCAATTTGTTCTCCTTTAAAAAGATAACATAGAGGCGGGGATTTTCGGACACCGCAAACGAAAGATGTGATTGCAGACTTACGCCGTCTATATATGGGTTTGATCTTACTAGAATCACTCCAAAAAATGAATTTTCCTCCTTTGAAGTACAAAATAAGAGGGAATAAAATAAAATGTTCAAACTCAATATTTCTTACTTTATCAAATGAGAATAATCTGGTTTCTAAGGTAGAATTTAAATAACCTGCGGTACGCACCTGAAAATAATTTTTCGGATTCTCTGCGACATTTTTCCATGATGTGACGTATTTTTTCCACTTCGGATCCAGAGCTACAGAGTGGTCGCCATCTGGAAAAGATTGTGTCCATGACGAGAGGGCGTTTTTATCCTCATTAGCGGCGCAAAACGAGTGATACGGTCCTCTCGTATTGACAACCACGCAAAAATCCGTCCATTTTGGATCTAGAACACTATAAAATGAGCGTATTAATGTACGTGCGGTGCCACATTTTTAAAGATAAGCGAGAAAATTATATTAGAAATGTCACTGAGGAAACCTTTTTTAGAAACACATTTAAAGTGTTGAAAAATGTTTAGAAATCATTATTTTTTCAAATATTCCTAAAATGTGTTCATAAAAATGTCAAAAAATGTTTTTAAAATTATTAAAAACTATTAAAAGTCACTATACCTTATGTCCTTAAACGTGTCAGAGGAGCTTTAGAAATATTGTATTTTTTTTCTCGATTTAAAGAAACACCTGAGAAACACTATATTGTTCTTTGAGTTGTTGTAGAACATCTAGTTAGCGTCATTGTGTTCTAAGGCGAGAAACGTGATTTTCTAGTTTCACCATCGATATCGGCGGAGGAGTACGGTTTCAAACACCAATATTTAATGTGTGTACTTCAAAAAAAGCGCGACGCTGTAAACGAATTTTCACATTTCCCCGTATTCTATTTCAAAGGGATCAAGTGGGCACTAGCTAAGTAAAATAACAAACCCGTACGGCTTTCTTCTACATATTTCTTTCACGGGCACCGCATTGCCCCCGGCGAAATAATTAACAAACAACGAGGAAAAAATGTTTAAAAAATTATTCAATGCATACTGATAAATAGACGTCATTAAGTAGAAAAGATCTATCTCCAGACGTGGTTTTAATGAAACAACAGACGCTCTGTTGCACCCCTTTAGCGGATACGCGATTTCTTAAAAACTGTTTTTGCACCTAGAACCCCTCTGCTTAATGACGTCGAAATAGCGTTTCACGGCAGGCGCTGCGAGCATGCGATAAATGCTTAACAAACGACCCACCAACTATAATGAAGCGTATACCTCTTGGCATCGATAAACAATGTTTTGCAGGTTCTGCAAAAGCTTTCAAAATAATATCGACTAATAGGTAAGTATCGATTTGCTCATGAAGCGACGCACAATGGTCCGGGACCCAGATTTCATTCGACAAAAAATGCCAAATACTATGCAAAGATCAAAATTTGGCGTAGCTCACAGGTAGTCAATTCTCGATTGAATTCAAGTCACAGAAGCTTTTAATAACTATTTCTGGCGGCTCATTTTATAGACAACACATGTGCCACTATAGTTTTTTTTATGCGGATTTATGTTTTTTTTTTTTTTTTTTTTTTTTTTTTTTTTTTTTTTTTTTTTCGGTCAGCAAGAAATATTAGTTGTCTCTCATCGCAAATTTAAGTCTATTTCACGTACTGATTTCTGTAAATTTGACTCAAGTTGATCTGTTTGCATTCTTTAAAGATGCTGCCTAAAAAAGACATTTAGGAAAAAAAAAATCAAAAAATAAAATTAAGACCCCTCAAAGTTTGGTATGAGATTTAACGGAATTATGGATGAAGAAGTGAAGTGACATTTTCTTCAAGGTTGAGATGTTAGGAAATATATACAAAACTCGTCTGTAGGTAAAAAGAAATTGAACATTGAAGCTCACATTTGGACGTATTTCTATCAAACAGAACTATGTGCATTGAGGCATGAGCCCTGAGACTCATAAGCATACATGCATAACAGGGCTCACGTCATAATGCACATAGTTCCGTTTGATAGAAGTACGTCCATTTGTGCCTCAATTTTGTGACATAGTGAGCCCATATCCTCTTCCCCACCACAAAAAAAGGAAAAAAGAAAAAGAAAAAAAGACATTGAAGACAACTACAAGAGTCGCACCGTGAGAGCAAGTGAGTAGACAAGTTTTAAAATTTGGAATTACTTGATCGAAGAATACTATGCTTTGTAAATTTTATCAAATTTTTCCCTTGTGATTGATTCACTCCCATTTTTCGTTAATGATAGGTATGTGAAAACGTGATATTAATAAAATGCTGTTCACGTGAATAAAAGATGAAGGAAAAAAATTACAAAACCACCACGATCGACTTTTTTTAAACTTATTTTTGGATCCGAGCTCTGGACCACAGTGCGACGCATCTCCACTCAGAGTGAAGACCTACATACGTAAACGACAGGTGTCCAATATAGAATGCATTGCGTTCCCGTCGTTTTCACATGCGAGGCTTCATAAGTCGTAATTTCCCATAGAATATGGCAAGAAGGAATTTCGAGGGTAATGAAGAAACAATATCCGGAGCTGGTGCGGTAATGATTGCCGGCAGATAATGGTGGATGACCGATGGGTAGGCAAAAACCACTCAACGGCAATAGGAAAACTCGGACAGATACGGGGTTTTTATTTGTATTGCGGGCGCACGAGAGGGTGCGATTCTCGGCGGCGAATTTGCATTTCGAAACTTTGCAGGGGTCGTTACGCGGCTCAACGTGCCAATTTGGCATCATTAAGACGATAGGCCGCCCCGAGAGGAAACATTTAACTTGGTCGAGTGATCTTTCCCCTCTCAGATTGAGGTAAGTAGGTATTGTACCACTTGGAATTAAAACGTCACAAGCTGCAATTTTTTCGCCCATTTTTCACTGGAGTGTTGCCACAGTTCCTTTCCTCGGCAAAAGAGAAGAAAAAAAAAACGAAGCGAGACCGCGAGATGCCACTAGTCATCCGCAAGACTCTCAGAACTCGTATGGATAATTAAAAATCGACCAAACTATTTCAATTACTTAAAAAGGGTATTTTTCAAATTCATGTTAGGCTAGTGTTAGGCAAGACAGCCGTAAGTGCTATCTTCTGCATGATTGCCTCGTTGTGTTTTGGACATACAACAAACACATTGTCAGGTTAAAAATATGCAGAAGAGGGCGACCCTTTAGGTACTTGAAAGCACTGTTTTTATTGGCTCTCAATGGAGAGCTTTTTGGGGGCTTTGTTGGAGGAGTAATGTCACTTACGGCTGTTTTGAATGAAACCACGTCATTTTTTGCATACTAACAACTTTCTCATGAGTCTTGTTTTTATGAAATTAAGATGAATTTTGCTGTTGTAGCTATTTCAGTGATTTCATCTAAAAGAGATCGGACGAATTTTGAAGAAAACTCGAATCCGAAAATCTGACACTTACTGCACTCTTCCCTATCACGGCAGCACTCGTATACCAGAATTCTACTGCTGAAATTTTTGGGCTAATTGTTGACATTGATAAAAAAAAAGATAGACAAAGAGAGAAAAAAGGATACGGAGGGATCCTATTGGTGGAGGCGGGAGGTTGCAATAGACAAAGGAGGTAGGTAATAGACAAAGTAACGGCAACCCCCGAGGGACTCGATAGTTAGTCCATCATTTTCTCCCACAGTCTATAGGAATCACCCTTTTCAACCAATAGGGTAGCTCCATACTCCCTATGTCTTCTTTGTCTATAGCCTTGTCTATCAATTTCATCAATCATGACAAGAGAAGTGAGTAATAGACTAACTAACGGCAACCCACGAGAGACCCGACTTTTAGTCCATCATTTATCCCTTCAGTCCAAAAGAACCATCGATTTCAACCAATAGGAGCGCTCCATACTCCTTATGTCTTCTTTGTCTATCACTTTGTCTATCACTTCCATCAATCAGCCCGCACGTTGAGATAAAAAAGCGCTCCCTATCGGCTGAGCGCGTAACCAGTTGCTCTACATTCTCAAAATGTTCACCAATTTCTCGCACATTGAGAAGGTTATATGCAAAACTATATTTGGCAGCGTGGACGGAGGCAATTTAACGCGCTGTGGAAGTGAGCTATCCTCCATTTTCTTCATCGGAACGCGCGATGCCCCGCGAAAAGCACCAGGTGCCACGCACGCCGCACGCCGCATGCCGCATGCCCCATAACGCAATTAAGTAATTGCATCGCTGTCATAAAGTTTAACTGGAGCCGGAATTATCCATCATTGGCTTTTTATTTAGTCATAGCCCCCGGGCTCATTCGTCTCCAGTGGCGAGGCGTGAATGATCGATTATCGATATTTCCCCATTTGAAGCTATGGTAAAGAATCAATTATTAAGGTGTCCGCTGCGAACACCCTGCCTATCGATCCTTTATCATAGGTTTAAATGGCAGATCAATCGATAAATCGCAAAGCACGCCACGCCACTGCTCGTCTCTAATTATTCAAAAGCGCTGAGAAGTGATCACTAAACCAGAGACCCCCGCAGTTGCCTCACCGGGTAATTGGACCGAGCCCCATACTCAAGAACGCCGTATGAACCTTCCGACGTTGCAAAATTTCCTTTGATCAAATTCTATTTGAACTAAAACTAATGAATATGAATATTTTATTTCCACTTTTTCTGAAATTTATACTCGCAATTTAATGTAAAGTGTTTGAAATATTCAAGGAAAAATAATCGAAAGTTTGCCCAAAAATTAAAACTTTAAAGGCGAAAATCTGGCAACGTCCGAATGTCCATACGGTGTTTTCCCTTGTAGCATAACCCATCGTTTCTTTAGATTATATGTAGAACATCAGCAAGGGTAACTGGGCCACTAACAGAAAGTTCCACTTGGCAAAATGGACCACTGGACAGGGTGAGAGTTAAAAGCGCCACAAGATATGGATTACATTTCGCAATACGGAACCACTATCTCTGGCTCTTTCATAAAAGCACCTTTTTGGATAGGGAATTCAATGACATGTATGGATTGCATTTTTCAAAAAGGAACCAGGAGCATTGCAATGTTGCTAAGATTGTGCAACTTCATCCATTGCAATAAAACTATTGAAAGCCCGAAAAAGTATGAAATTTACTTGGTAATTTTTGTCCTAAATTTAGAGTTTTTAGTGAGAGAAGCAAAAACGGTTTATAGAAAATCAGGTTTTTCTTCCAAGACAAAAGGAGCCGTATAATCCTAGCAAAATTGCAATGCTTCCGGTTCCTTTTTGCAAAATGCAGTTCATATGTTATTCCTAAAATGAGCCAGAAATAGTGATTCCTTATCGCAAAATGTAGTCCATATATCAATGGTCAAAGTGCGAAACCATGCGTCTCCGTCTGCGACATAGCAGATTTCCGGTCATACTTTATTTATTCATTGGAAAACCGGCAA